GGGGGGGGGGGGGGGGGGGGGGGGGGGGGGGGGGAAGGGCGTGAATAGAACTCGTCTTCCCGAAACAGGAAGGGGGGAGGCTGGGGATGACAGGGCAACTTTCCAGAACAGGAAAAAGAGAGGCTGAGAACAACCTTCTGGGGGCGGCAATGGCTCGGCATCTGCGAGAGGTTCAGGTTCGGGTTCGGGTTCGGGTTCCGGTTCTGGCTCCACAGGTTCAGAAACTTCATAGTCATGAGCAGGATCGCCGGTGAAAAGTCCGGGAATGTTCAGTGTCCTCTTGTAGTTCTCCTCGGGCCCCGGCTGCAGGTCGACCCACTTTATCCCATTTTGACTGCAACCACAACCGGAGATCGAAAGAAGAAGAAAAAAAAAGGGGGAAAAAAAGAACAAACAGAGGAGATCAGTACAAAAGAAATCCTTTTTTCTCTCACTTTTTTTTTGTCCTTTTTTTTTTTTCATCTGTCAATTTTCCTAGTTTTGAAACACAAAAAAACGAAAACCGTGCAAATTGGAAGAATACAGAGAAAACTGCCATGACCTCTGCGCATAGGGATGACACACAGAAATCGAGAAATGGTCCAATTTATCAAAATAAGATATATATATATTTACTGCGCAGCTCTGTTTAACGAAATATAGTCGAACAGAGCTGCCCTGTAAACCGTAGGCAGAGAGGGAGAAGAGGACAAGAAATGAGGGGCTGTGACAAACTGTTTCGTCGGAGTTTCATTGACTGACTCATCAGGAGGCTGAACCCTAAACAGACTGCAGAATCCCCTAACTGCTTACACTGTAAGTGATAATCCACCTTAACCCCGGCTTTCATCAAACAGAACTGCCCGATCAACCGCAGGCAGAGAGAGGGAGAAGAGGACAACAAACGAGGGGCTGTGACAGACAGACTGTTTCGTCAGAGTTTCACCCCAGTGCGCTCATCAGGAAGCTGAACCCTCTACGGTCTGCAGAGTCCACTAACCGATGACACTGAAAGTGACGATCCACATTAAACCACCAGTACTTCGCCCTGCTTGAAAAAAAAAACCCGGCTTGTTTCGTTTACGGCCGCATTCTTCGGGGGTCGGGTACAGGACGGAAATGGCTGGCGGCGCCAGCCAAAAGCAGCCCAAACCAGTTTGTTTATGTTTGGTGCGCAGGGCAATGTCAGGTTCAGCATTGATATCTGCGCGTCGTACTCGTGGTTTAATCCCGGTTGCGGTTAACGACTGCCCGACAACTGATACCCCTCTGAGGCGGAGGTGGGCACCACCCACCACCCACCACCCACCACCCTCGAGGGTATCTGTGACGAAAATTGAAGCAGACTGTCACTCACCCACAAGCAGACGGAAAACTCTACAGAACATAAGCCAGCAAAACACCCACAAAACAGAGAAAAGTCCTTCACAGCCCAAAAATACATAATCATTCAATACTCAAGAGTAGATTGGAGGTTAAAAGGGGGAGGGGGGGG